TGTATTTACTGTTTATAAACACGTTTTTGTTGTTAAAATAATTTGGCGTATCTCATTTGAGAGAAAATTGCCACGTAGTAGAAATATTTTGCCACACGTGGTTTATAGGCCATATTTAGTAGTGGGTCCTTCGTTCGACATCGTTCATACATTATTGACATTATTGTATTGTACATTTTTGTATATTATTGACTACTTTAATACAAACGTTTTATCTCCTTGATTTTTACTTGTTCTAATTTGTACAGTATATTATGTTTGATAGTTACCCCCTGCCCCTAGCTGCATTGTTCTGCATCGATCATGCACCTGTTATATTTCTCCTTAGGGTATAAATACTTATTATAATCCTTTATGCTTAATCTGAATTTTGCTTCGATTATTAGATCTACTTCAGCTCTATTCAAAAATTCAATAAGATCATTTACTTTGTTCCTAACACCATTTGCATCCCAGCTACACACTATTAGATTAGATGGTGCCATTATTGAGCTATTCGTAAAATTATAAAATATTTTAAGTTTTTTTGTAAATAACGTACATTTGGTTAATTAGTGCTTTAGTTCCTTAACTAGTTTTGACATCTTCCTGACATCTATTAGCCTTTCCAAGGTTACCATTTCATGAGTTATTGTCTACCTCGCTTGCATGGTTTGTCTATTATGTTGATTGCTATGTTGTGTTTATTGCTAAGACTTCTTTATGAGTATTATTTATGTGAGGGTATGTTGGACTCTTGTATCCCCGTTCGATTCTTGAGTTGTTCCTTTCACATGGGATTTTTGTTCCTCTAATAACGAGAAATTTATTTTATTGGTTTCTATTTGCTGAGTTGGCTGCTGCCGCTGGAGCTGTACTCGTTGTTGGAGGGTTCCTTTCATAGGTGTCGTTTCCTAATTTTTGTTTATCCATTCCATTCTCTGAATATATATTGCATATTTAGTGCAGTTCGTTGCATGACCGTTCCCCACAGTTAGCACATATAAGTAGGGATTTATGTTGTTTGGAGTGGAAATTATAAAGGATGAGGTAGGAGTCGGTAATGTAGTTTGTATGGCGTGTTTCATCTCAAGGCTACTAGCCTAGTCTCATTAGTGTCTGACGGCGAACCTTACCCCAGACATTTGTTTTTGTTTATGGCCAGGCATCTCTAGATTTAAGGACAAGGACTGGATGATAATGGTCATTCATCCTAGAGGTGCTGCTCCGCACTTGCGTTACTTAACCTCGTAATCGATATCGATCTATGAACCAACGGCATTTGGGTGTTTTCTGGAACAAGTATTTGAGGACAGCTTGGATGTGTTAGTCGCTAGACTATCTTTTGTGCACCCGTTAGTTGGGTGGCTACGCTTGAGACATTTGAGTTTACATGGCAGTGCGTAGTAGCACGCTTCCATTTTTGGCAATATTGTGTTATTACTTTTTTATTAATATATCG